TATCAAGTTTTAACATTCAATTCACACCATCAGCGTAAAAGTTAATATTATTTGTTCTACTCATATTTTTGTCCATTTTTTATGACGCACAATCAAACAAGTCATGAGATCAACTAAATAATTGCACTTTTAATTACTATAAATTTGGAGATATTTTTTAATTGTCATTAAATTGACATAAAAACTAATACTACTTGTTCCGTATTTTAGGCACACCAAATAAATTGTTAGATCAACCAAATAATTACACTTTTGCTTTAAATTTGGAGATATTCCTATGGTGTCACCAAATTGACATAAAAGCTAATACAATTTACTCCACCCAAATTCGTGTCAAACAGACTATTAAATCAACCAACCAATTGCACTGGCTTGCTATAAATTTGGAGACATTTCCATTGTCTTCAAATTGACATAAAAACTAATACAATTTGCTCCAACTGGATTCACGTATATCTTTTTTTACACATAACCAAACAGACCATTAGATCAACTAAATATTGCACTTTTGCTATAAATTTGGGAATATTCTTAACGTGTCATCTATTGATGTACAACATATTTGGTTTCACATTTAAAAACTCTAAAATAAATTTTCAAGCATTCCAATATCTTAAATGAAAAAAACTAATATTTATAGATGAAAAAAAAAACTTGAATTATATTCAACTAAACATTTTTTCAAATACAAGTGTAAAAAGCTAATTCCACTTAGATTGATATCTATGTTTTCTAACACACAACCAATCAGGCTATTAGATCAACCAAATAATTGCACTCATGCTAGAAATTGAGATATTAATTCCTAACGTCTCCAAATATAAAAATCGATATAATTTGCAATAATTGGACTATGTCTATCTTTTCTGACCGAAGTTAAAAGATAGGATGTTATATTAGTGATAAAATAATATTTGGTTAATAGAAATTATTTTTTATAAATACAAATTAATTATTAGTATTTTAAAAAAATATATAAATCATGTTTATAGATAAATAAAATAAATAAATAAATAAATATATATATATATATATATATATATATATCACATTTATTATCCAAACTCTATCTTTTTTGACTGAAGTTAAAATATATGATGTCATATTAGTGTTAAAATAATGTAACAAAAATCACATTTCATAATTGCAGATTATTCATTAATGCTTTAAGATAATACATGGATTATATTTATATTTATATTTATATTTATATTTATATTTTTATTTATATATATATGATATCACATCTATTATGCAAACCCTCCACTAACCCAACCTAATAGGTTATATATAATACCTATCCATGTATAAATTAGCAATTATAGCATGTCATACTTAAAAAAAAATTAGTTACTGTTATCTCTACGTATATTCCAAAGAATCGATGGGTGAAGACCCGAACCTTAGAGTATATATTTCTAATAAAAATGAAACGAACAAGAGTCTTAGCATTTCGTTTTTTGGAAATGACCCTATAATGCACTTTAATGAGCTCAAGACATCATGCTTTTGTGATGGAAAGGACATTTCTGGATGGAAAAACCGTTCTAATTTAATAAATATTTTGGATATTAAGTATTAACCCAACTAAACAATGCTATAGCTATTTTCTCAAGAGAATGTTAGGAACTAAGGTTCCCTCGGTCAATGGATGAGAAAGAATAAGCTAATGAAAAAGGGACTGAGAGAAGTTGACTTCATTAAGAACATGATGAGAATATTTAGTCGAAGCGTCTAATACAAATTAAATGACAGTTTCTTTTTTTTTTTTTTTTTTATCAAAACAGTCTAAAACAAAAAGTTGCAGGTGTGATGCTGACCAAGAGGGTTCAAAAATGTTTCGTAGACACCTTATACCGGTATACGCTTGAAAATAGAGAAACAATTAAGAAAAATATAATTGCAGTTGGTAATTGATATAGTAATAGAATTTTTAACATTAAAATATTATAAAAATGATTCAACATTTTATTTCTTTAAGTTGGATTATTAGTTTAAATCATATATTCCAAGAAGTTAATCATATGCAAATTATTGATAAAAGCATGATATCACATATGTCAATCCATCCAAATTTGAACAAGCAATCCTTCTCAATTTATTTCTCTTTTATTAATTGACGTCATAAATATCTTACATATTAAAGCAATCCTTCTCAATTTATTTCTCTTTTATTAATTGACGTCATAAATATCTTACATATTAAAATATAATTTTTTATTGTCTTTATATTTTCCTAACCATAAAAAAAAACACTTTAACAAGACTTCATACTTTTTTTTTACCTCTTTAAGTCTATCACACTTTTTATCTATTAAATCTATCACTTTTCTCTGGACCAAAATAAAAATACATCTATCACTTCTCCTTATTTTTTTTTCTCTTCATAAGTGTATATTAGCATATAAGGTGCCCAAGAAAAAATTTATTAATTAATATGATATATGATAAAATAAAATAAATAAAAAAATACTGTGTCAATGGGTGTTTGTATTGTTCAAATGTCCAAAAAGTTTTTCTAATTTATTATTGAAACTTTGTCTTTTTGATCTTGTGAGGAAGGTGTGTGTAGAATATAATTATTAAATTAGAACAATCACATGTTGGTTAATCTATGAGATCGGTGATTTATAAAATAAAACTTTGTGAACCCAAATGAAGGAACGAAATTATTATTGATTAGTTTAATTAATTTTTTAATACCTTAAAAATTCATATTTCTTCTATTTCATCCTCAATTCTTTTAATTTTAATAGTTTTTTTGTAAAATGATTTTACCGAATGATTTCTCTGTTAATCTTTTTTTAATTTTTATTGTATTTCCCACCTGATGTCTGCAACTATCGTGAATTTTTCACTAAGTTCAAAATGAACAAGTAAATAATAAAATAAAAAATCGCAATATTTAAGAAAAACTAAAGAATATACAATAATTATACTTAATAAGAGAAATTTATTGTGACTTTTGATGAAAAAAATACAAAAAAATCTTTTAAAAAAATAGAAAAAGATAAAATAATAACTAACATTTTTAGGCAAAAATTCAATGCTTATTGTTATAATATTGGGTGAATCATCCCAGTATGAAATATCTAAATCATATTTGGATGCTAGTTTTAAGAATATTTTTTAGATAAACGGCACTTTCAATATAATTTTAATTAAATAATTTTACGTAAAAACTTATGTCAGGTGCACTGTCGTACATAATTCATTGTCATGAGAAAGACTATTCATATAACAAAGTTATACAGCAACTTATAAAATATATTTTTTCTTTATATTTTCCATCACTGGACACATTTTATTAATTTCATATTTTCTTTCTTCTCACTCTGTATCTCCTATTTTTGTATGAATACTCATAAATAATTGTTACATCCGGCTCATGTCCTTTTCATGAGTCTACGGGCTATACCTCACCCCGCAACTCCTGGTCCAAGATCAAGAGATACTACATTGATTTTCATCAGTTATACTTTTTTTCTGAGCCAGTGGCAGTCAACTTGCTTGTGTCTCTGCTCTCAGTAGTAGTACTACTACTGGTCTAAAAGATCCATTGGGAAATTCTCTCAAGATTTTTATTCTCCCCACCAGTATGGTTCACCATCAAACCGAATATGAAACGAAACGGAACAGCCTTTTTGATACGGTGGGTTAAGAAAAGCACACGAGGCATAACACTTGAATAAGGAACTAAGGATCACCTACACAAACATTGCCTCCCTAATTTGACTATAAATTTTTTGTGCATGACTAACCTCATCCTAACAGTAATCACCCAAGTTGAATTATCATTCTTTTCTTGTTACTAAACATTACGAAGCAAAATTTTCTATAAAAGCATTCCCATTAGCACAAACACAAACAATAGATGGGCAGGTTATTATGCATGGTCACCTAAAATTTGACCCAAGCAGAAACTACTTGTATGTTCTAAGACCTAACTAATCTAATCTTAAATAGAAAAACGGAAGAAACCTGAAGTAAAACTTTTTCAGGGTCCATCATTCCTGGCATCCACAAACTCTACCACATCACATGGGTGCCTGAGTGAGTCACATGTGATGCTTGATCTACGGAAGACCTGAGCCATCTCTAACTTAAAAGCCTAATATCCTCATAAGCCATGGCCCCGATTCATTTCTACCGCTTCTTTTCCGCATTATGATATCATAATAACACGATGTTTGCTTGCTTCCTATTTCCAAGTTCCCATTCCATCCTCCACACGCACACGCGCAAAAACGAGTTCCACAGAGGAACCCGCAAGGTCGCAAAGGGCATTTCAATAGAGCAAAGAGTGGGCGAAATTTTGCGGAGTGCTCCGAGCCAAAGAAACAAACTAACAAACACCCTAGGGGACCACACGTGACGTCAATTCTGGTACTCTTCTTCCAATATTTACCAAAATATCTACCAGGAGAAACTCCTATAAACAATTCGGAATAATTTTCGCCATATTAAGTTCTGGATTTTTCATCCTTCATTTCAGAGGCTCAAATATGAAATAACTGGCTCTGGATTTTTCATCCATCCTTCACTTCACGGAGAGATTTCACATTTCACATTTCTATTAGAATATGTCACATTTCTAGAAGTAATTCTAGTGGCGCAACGATGAGTTAATTTCACACACAGACACAAAAAAAAAAAAAAATTATAACCGAAAACAACAAACACATTGGATTTTCTCTCTTAGAATTCGGCACACATGCGAATTGCATTTCACTCGGTCAAGAAAATACGCATGCAAAAAACAGAGATACAGCAAACAAACGAGGTCGTTTTCGATTTCGGTCAAAATTTATCGGCAATCAAACAGAAGCAACTTATCAGAATTCATTAAAGTCGCAGAGAAATCGTCGCCGAAAATTGGAACGAGAAAAATTAGAAACAACGCTTCGTTCGATCTAACTCTATTCAAAACCTCGCACGCAATCATGACATGAAGAAATATATATATATATATAGAGAGAGAGAGAGAAGAGAAATCTGACCTGAATGGCGCGAAGTTGTGGAAAGTGGAATGGTTATTCGGTGGAGTGAAAAGGGAGAAGTTTGAGCGATTTGCGGAGAGGGAGAGAAAATATGATGGTTTGTTATGTGAGAAGTGAGAAGTAAGAAGAAGAGAGAAAGGCGAAGGGTTTATATTGGAAAGGGGAGAGAGAGTGCGCATTTGGCAGACATGGTATCGTCACCAAGGCATTCCTTTTGGCGGTGCACAGAGGTGTGGGGAGCCAGGAGACTAGTAGACTTGCCCTGCTTTCCTTTCCTCTGCCCAATCACTTGGAGTTGGAGGGAATTTGTTCTGCTTTTTTTTTTTTTTTAAGTTTTAAATAATATTTGCTGAACCAAAGTTATATCTTGAAAACATAAATTAGAAATTAGTGATTGATTGTGAATTTTGTAATAATCCGTAAAAATGTCATTAATAATAAATTTTTGAATAGATGTAATCGTAATTTACAAGGATAATTTTTGAAAAATATAAAAGAGATAGAGAATAGTTTTAAAAAAATATAGTTTAAGAAGTGATTAAAGGAATAAAGTGAAAAAAAAAAATGTATACATCAAATGTTATAATCATCTTTTATTAATAGTATAATATTATTAGTAATAGATTAAAACTGACAATAGTAGAGAAAAAAACATTTTATGTCTCTTAATTTTTAAAAATTTTAAAAAAAATATAGAAAGATAATTTAATATGGTTATTGGTAAAGCTATTAATATGGGTCGAGCTTACCAAACTAATTTCTTAGGTTTTAAATTTCAAGCTTAAATAAAACGTAAATCATTTTAGTCCATTCTGATAAAGCACATGTCATAAACATGTTTAAGTTAGGTTGGCTTGGTCAGGCACTCAAGTCATGGGTTGTTCGTTTCTTTTTAAAAAATTTTAGTATTTTTATATTTTATTTATTACTAAAAAGTAGACGAAGAATTTAGAGTCTAAGAGTGAGAAGTATGTTCAAAATAGTGTTCATTCAAATATAAGCCAGTGACAATAAGCACAAGATTCATAATTATTTAGAGTTAGAAAATGAAATATCTCGGCACTATTTAACTTGTACAAAGTAAGTTGATTTTATAATTTTTATATAATTAATTTCACTATTATTATTATTATTATTATTATTATTATTATTATTATTGTTGTTGTTATTATTGTCATTTTATATATTTATATTAATTAGTTAAGTTGGTTATTTATTTTATAGGAACTTGGAGAGTTTAAGAGCACAATCACTATCAATATTTAATATTTTAGCTTATTGGAAATAAAAAGTCATCATAAGTGTACTAATATTGTAAAGATAGTTTATGATATACAAATTATTTCAATAATCATTGTGATATTCACTCTTAACATTGTCTCTCAAATTTTGAACAAGTATAGGAGTTTTTGCGAAATTAAATAATTCAAACTCTCTTGTGCACATCTAATTGGTTATATGATTTTATAAAAACGCTAGATGAGATTGTTTTATAATATATACTCACATTTTGCAATAAAAACATGTTAATGAAAATAATTATTACAATAATTATCAACTTTGAATTTGGGAAAAAAAAATAAAAAATTAATTGAAAAAAAAAAAAAAAAAAAAAAAGGAAAAGCCATAGTTTGCATAATTATGGGAGTGTTTTGAGATAGGCTAACAATTATTATTTAGAAGACCAAATTCAGGTCGAATCTCTTTGACTCAACTCACTCACTATAGTTCGTGGATCGCATTGGACTCAACCCATAATAAATCAGGTAACCCATTTTACTAGTTTTAATTATGTGTGGTTATTCCAAAACATAAGAGGTTTTTTTCCCCTTTACAATTGAAAGATATAATGATTCACTAAAAAATGGAGATCAAAAGCTATTATATATCATATATCCCTTTTATAATATGTATAAATTATTATTACATATCAAATATCTCTTTATAATATGTATAAATTATTATTATTATTATTATTATTATTATTATTATTATTATTATATACGATTGATTGACATTTGTAAAAATAAAATAAGTCAAAAGTCATATCAATGATAATATTTTTTTAACCATATTATTAGTATAAAATATTTATCGATTTCTCTAATGATTGATTTCTATCGAGGAAATTGGTTGGTCAGGTTTAATGGAATTTTTTTACCAACCACATTTATCTATTTACAATACTTGAACTTGAGACCTTATTTAAAAAGACAAATTTCAGTATCACCCAAACCAAAGATTTTTGGTCCAATAATGATATCTAATTTGTTGATATTGTAAAAATAAAATTATTTTACACTATCAGTGCATAACTAATAAACTCTTATTATTTCAGGTAAATTGATACAAATTATTAAATTATTTGTATGAGTGAAACTAGAGTTGATCCTTTAAGTAACATCTCGAATTCAAATATTGTAAATAAAAAAATAATAATTGAAAGATGAGACCATATTAATAAATTTAGTATTCATACCGATAACATAATTAATTGGAAAAAAAAATGTTGTTTTATACACTTCTAAACTTTAACCACATACTTAAATTATATGGTAATTTATCAATCATATGATACCATATTGTTCTTATTATTACTTTAATACAAACTCACGGCTGTGACTTGGTTTCAAAAAAAAAAAAAAAAGAAGCACTTTTCCCCCACCCAGATTATTCTCTTTATCTCTAGCCTATTGACTAGCTATCAGTTTGTTTAGTGTGTTAAAGATGGGGAAAAAAACAAAAAATACCAGAACTCATCCATTGGAAATTCCTAAGGGGGAGCTATGCACAATTTGTTTAGGACATATTCTTTTGCTTTACAACTTCAGCGTCCTTTTTTGTGTGCCTTGGGATTGGGATGCCTCGTAGGGCATCATTCTGATAGGAAGAAAATGGATCTTTAGTTATGTGTTTTTGATAAAGATTCCACTGACCAGATATTAATATGCACCAATTTTGTATGTATGTATAATGTAAATTAATTAATGACATAAAGTAAAGTTGGTTTTCAACCACCGTTTCATTTTCTGTAATTATACTTTTCCTGTTCTGGATCAACATCTTAGTTTTTCACCTTGGCCCAACTGGGGTATAATCAATCTCAAAATTTTGGCCCAAGTGCAACTTTCTGAAAGTCAATAACTAAAAATTAATTGATTAACAACTCACATTTATAACAGAGATGTGATTTGATACATGCTCACATTCTTTCTGTTATTTCATAATCTTACCATATTTTTACTATTGGGTGTCTATGAGTGATTACAGGGATGATGATTGATGAGGAATCACATTAGACAGTAACCAACCAAACTCTATCAAGTTCATATCATCATATGCTTATAAATAGTATATGCAACCACCATTTGCTTACGAAATATTTATACCTAACTATTACTTTACCAAAATCATCAATAACTTAAGTATTAGAGTATTTCCTTGTAGTTGATTCAATTGAAAAGTAATCAACTCATATTTTAAAAAGACGTGAATTTAAATCTTATCGATATAAAAATTTAATTAATGGATAATCTGTAAGTACTTTTATAAACTCTCATAGAACTTTGAGATTTGCCCTAATCTTGTATTTTTGTAAGAAAAAGAAAGTATTTCCATGCAAAAATACTTCCTCTAACGGGTAGAAACGCCATGGAACTCATCACCATGAAACAGATTTTTCATCCTAATATAGTATGAGGTATTTCAAAGTTAGATCAATGTTTTCCTACTTCTTCATATTCCTCCTCATTCACCAACTTAAAAGAAAAATGAGTAAAGCTCTACCAACTTCGAATGTGCTTGCAACATCATCCATCCCCATTCCCCAATTTGTTTCTTTAGCCAAAACTAGAATGTTGACTCGTGCATTAGCACAAATTGCATCGATATTTACGCATGAAATAGAATGGTTTATAAATAAAAAATATATATGCATTAATTGCAGTTTGATAAATTGTATAAATTTTTTGTCAATAAAATTTTATAAATATGTGTATAAGTGTTTTCGCACGATAAAAAAAATATATTTACTATTTGTGTTTTTAACCAAAATAAATATTATTGATATAATATAATTATTTTTAAACATTTAAAAAGATAAATAAAATATTGTTTTTATCAGCATGATGTACCAAGTATAAATTATATAAATCAGGGAATAGAACAAATGTTAGTGTAACAGTTAAATTTTCCCAAAATAGTATAATAATTGATTAATCATGAGTGGGAATACCAGTAAAATACTTCTATAGTTTTACAATCTTTGACCAAGTAAATTAAGTTAAAGACTTGTATAATATTACAATTATGACATTCTTTTTTTTTTTTGGAAACTAGTAGAGACATATCAACGGGGAAAGTAAGGCTTTGGCCCCCCTCACCCTAGACTATTTGGAATAATTATTTTGATGAAATATATTTATTAAAATAAAATATATAATTATTAAGAAAATGTTTCACTTATTCTTTAATTTTTTTTTGAAATTGACTCTTTCTATTTAAGTTATAATTTAAAGATTACTTTTAGCTATATAGATGATAAAAAAAATTAGTTTAAGAACAAGATGAAAGATGTATTTTTAACTGTTTAATTTTTATATTGAGAGGTTGGTTGAAATTGGATACGTATTTTATATTGTTGATGAATTTTATGATTTAAATGAATGTTATCCATAAGTTAAATAAACGGTATGATATATTAAATAATTATGATTTAATATTTATTTAGATTTATAATTAAAATTTTATCTCCATTTAGTGTAGTTCTGGATTTATCTCTGGTTTAAAGTTCTAATCTTACACATATGCATATGTTAAATATTAGAAGAAAAAGTTTTGTTATTTATAGTGGTCGTCCTACTTAACTTGAGTATAATCAACTCTGGTGAAAAATATATGTGAGCTAAAAAAATAGTTGGGATGATTTTTCATTGATTTGTATGAGATGTTTATTCTACTCAACATAATGGTTTCAAAATCAAAAGGAAAAATTAATGTTGTCAAAACTAGATCCATCGGTAACTCAAAGGATATTGATTCAATGAGTCACTAGTCAAATTAGAAAATTATTGTTGAATCACATGAACTTGTATAAATTATATACAAAGCATATATGAAAGTATCTAAGCGGAAAGCTACCTAGCTTAGTGAGTCATGGTGTAACATCTTTTTTTTTATATAAATATAATTATAATATATGCTTTATTTTTTTAACTTCAATTAAATAATTGATTGAGATTTTAAAATAAATCAAGGTGTTTTTTTT